GTAACAACACGTTGTAGATACAATATGACACTGATAACGTCATTATTACCGATTGTATAAGGGCTATAATCGCGGTGCCAAGTCGAGACGTCTACTGTAAAAAAAAACGAGTGTGCTTATGAATATGACCACACGTCTGAAGTGAAACTCCTTTAGCTCCATATGTATTTATATATATATACATAAGCAAGAGAAAGCAGTGCGGGCGCACATTTTCTTTCTCTCTCTCTCTTATAGGTAGTAAATGAAATATGTATATGAACATACTTGAATATGCAGTACACATATGTATATTTATTATATACACATATGTGTACTACGTATGAAACTTCTTCACGCACTCTTGACTTGGGGGGTAAGTTGGCGAATGCGTTACGCGTTCCGAAAAGTGTGATCAGGCCAGGCGAACGGGAGTTGAGTTTGGGATTTATATCTCTTGCTTATGCAAAGAAGTGCGCGCACACATTTTCTTTTTCTCTCTCTTATAGCTAGTAAATGAAATATGTATATGAACATACTTGAATATGTAGTACACATATGTATATATAATATATATATTCATTTCAAAAAAAGCTTGTGAGTCACGGGACGCACGTCAGAAGTGATAACTTAAACTAACGGCTAGTGCTACGGATTAGTGATGTAACGAATATTCGTATTCGCATTCGCGAATATTCGCATATTTTTGAATATTCGCATTCACATTCGCATTCGCAAAATCTCTGCGAATGTTTTGCGAATGAATATTAGAAAAAAACAATTATTCGCATTCACATTCGCAAAATCTCTGCGAATGTTTTGCGAATGAATATTAGAAAAAAACAATTTGAAGAAGTTGTAGTTCTGCCTTTCCTTGAATATTCATTGTAACATAGTTTGCATTTAGCTCGTTCAGCATCGAAAAGTGTCAAATAAGTCCATGTTTCACTAGAATTCGATTTAATCATGTTAATAAATCACTATTACCACTCACAATCACTAACCTCAAAATTCACTTGTTTTGTTTACGGAAAGATGCGAGCGGAATGACACTTCAGTCGGATGAGTTCATATCAACTCGGCAATTCGAACGAGACTGCCACCATGCCATAGACAATTGGCGCCAATTTAAAAAAAAAAACTAAATATTAGCATTCGCGAATGTCGGTACCAGACATTCGCATCCGCATTCAAATTCGCGAATGTTCAAAAAATGACATTCGTTACATCACTACTACGGATTAGAGTGAGTGAGGAGGAGCATGCCTACCGCTGATGTATGCATGAGAGGAAGAGAAGCCAGACAGTCAGGCGCCGTAACGCGTTACGCAACGTTGCAGTTTACCCTCCCATAAGAAGTTATTACTTCAAAAACTTACTCAAATAAAGAAACGAAGCAAAATACAGGGGTATATTTATAGGAGTTGCAATTATTTATATAGACAGGGGCGATGTATTTTTTGTGCGATTTAAAATCTTTAGGTGTTGTTCTGAAGGTGAAAATTTGCTTGTGTTTGAATTCAACTTATAGAAAGAAACTTCACACTAGTTTTCTTTCACAAAATATAATTGACTAAATACTGAAGTTCATTATGATATCTGTTACCACTTTTACTTAAACCAATACATATGTTATGTTCAATTAATACAAATTCAATATTTGTATATACACTTTGATTCTATACAATAAATAATACTACCTACTTAGTAATACTGGAATTACCAAATGGTAATTACAACAAAATAGTTGTAATATATACAACAAACTAAACAAAATACATTGTTCTCAAATTGGAAGCATAATAAGAGTTATTCAAAAATACAATTTTTCGAAATAAATACACACAATGCATCTCGGAAAGGACATGTTATATAAAATTGTATGAGGGGTTGTTGGTTATTGCAGTGAACAGAAATGAAATTATATTTAAGTTCCCATCTATACAACCCAAAATACTAAAATTATAAGTTTATTTATTATTATTACCAAACATTTTCAATAAAAAAATATTATTATATTTTTATTTCAAGCATTAACTTCTATTATGTTTAAATCTAAAGAAAATTTTAATAGTAAAAAATTCCACTCATTCCATGTTTCAGACGGGGTTCGAACCCGCATCTCCTGCTATCCGGGCGGATGAAGATGCGGGTTCGAATCCCGTCTGAAATCTGGACGAAACGGAATTTTTAACATTATGGTTCAAAATTAAAAGAAAAATGCCCAAGAAATAACATGTCCTTAACACATAATAGTACCCATTCATTTATACTTATTATTTATAATAAATGTTTATTAGTAAATAAAAACAAAATAATAACAAAATTTACCAGTACGAATAACAAAAATAGAATATACGAATTTTCAACAATACAAATAACATACCCATTAATCAACAAAGAGATACAAAAACATAGGCCTCTTGTTAATATAAAAAATACAATATTTTCCTTAATTAAGCCAATTTGAACATTTGCTTTAATTTCGTTGATTTATTTTATTGTTTCATTTCATTGATATTCGTTAAAAATTCTCTAAAGTTTTCACTTCTAATCGCTAGTCGGAAACTATCGACAATAATTCAAACATAATGTAATTGCAAAAATAAAAACCCTTTTAATTTGATCTACTTTAAATATATTTCTATTCTCGAATCATGTAGATTCGAATCTGTTGCAGAATAATCTATATTCTCTATATTCATGCGATCTGATATTTTTGTTACATCATGGGCAATTTCATATCACATAACAATATCGTGTATCACTTATCTAGATAAAAAATATGGCGATAATGTGTTTTTGAAGACTAGACCGGTTTGAGCTAGCTACCTACTTAATTTCTTAAAACATTGACATACAAAATTAATAAATAATTAAAGCAAGTAATAATAAAGAAAAGTTTTAAGTACTAGAAAAATCCAGGCGGACCAGGCAGCGGACGGATCTCGAACCCGCACCCTTCGCAATCCGGGCGAATGATCTGACCAATTATGCTACCACAGCCCTGATGGCCGCGTCGAAATTTTCCTAGCCTTAAGCTGCAAGGCAGCGCCATCTCTTCGCATTGTAGGTAACCCACAATGTCAAATGAATACTTTTTCAACAACAAAACATAACTAAGTAATAATAGTTTTAATAGGAACATAATAATGATTACTTGAAAAAAATACGTTGCCTACATATCACTATGTACTAACCTAATTAGATAAATTATATTGTACAAAATTATGAATTCCATATTTATGAATACAGTGGTATAGTGCCATTCAAACTTTATGGCGGTTGAGAAGTTAGCAATGAGAGCAACTATGCGCAGATTTCAATTAGTTAAACACAGAATATTATTCTGACTATGTAAATCAAATGAAATACAATTTCATATTGCAGCGATTGCAATCAGCAATAGGTGTAAAAAACGAATCGTTTTAGTTTTTTATTATTATCGTGTTTTACGGCTCCGAGTCTAGTCCTTTGCCAAACGTTCACAATAGCCCATGATGCGCGATTACAGACATGCACGATTGTGTAGAGGGCATTATCATCCTCGAGTGGTCATCATCGCCTGTAATGCTCAATCACTTTTTTGATCATGGGCCATGTTAAGGCACCCCTTAACATAAATCAAATTCAAAAATTCATAATCAAACTGTGCGATTAGAGTTGTTGCCTTAGATTTATTGAACTATTTGCTTTTTCAGGCAAAGAAGATGACGTCCGGTTATTTCGGCTTTATTTGAGTTTTTTTTTTTTAAATCTAATATAACGAATCTCATTTCTTTTAATTTTACAAAAAAAAAAATAGCCTCTTTGTATATTTTTTGAAAAGTTCATACGGTATTTATTCGTGTATTATGACTCTATAAAAAAACGAGCGAGCCTTACAGTAGTAGCGTATGTTGTGTAACATTTGAAACCTCACCTTATATTAGTAAAAAAAGAAATAAAACTGACTACAAAAGGAATAATCCATTTGAACATTATGTTCTAAAATCAAATCAAGCGCGAGCTTCCCAAACTTCCTGTTACACACTTCCGTCCCACTTCACGTAATCACTCCCACAAATTGCACGAAAGCGAGAGGAAAAATGTTACACATCAAAAATGGATATTAATAATTATGTAGGACATAACAGTAAAAAAACTTTTTATTATTTCAAATATGTTCCTCTAGCAAATATGGCGTGTTTACAGGCAGGTGACGTCATTTTGGGCTCTGCCAAACCTAGGCGTTTTCGGTAACGTGAAAATAATCAAAAATAATAATAATAATTTATTGAAACCACTTTACATTTTCGTACATGATAATGTGAACCCTGTCCTCTGGAAAAGGTTACCCTGAGGACCAGAAGACAGTGCTCTCCCCACTATTGTTACTTTAGAGCTACAATAATTTAAAACCACTAAATAAAAATTATATTAAAATAATGTTAAAAAAGTACCTAGGTATAGCATTAACCGGTGTGTCTGTGTATGTGTGTGTGCGTGTGTGTGTTAGTGTGTATGTATATGTACCTGCGTTCGTGTTGTGTAGCGTATGTGCATTTGTTTTATCGCATTTTTCTGTCAATGATATATATATTTAGAAGTTGTTCTACTTCATTGTATTCTAGTCTATTTAGCCAATCTAGGATTATCATTCTTTATAGAATAATAATAAAAAATAGAATAATAATAAATACTCTTCTATTTCATGATTTTCACTTACATTTTTACAGTATTCATGTTAAGTACACATGCCCAAATTTTTACTTTATTTTTCATTCTGTCAAATAGGCTTTGCAAATCTGCCGTACAGTAACATTTAGCTATCGTCCGAAAGAAAGGTAAAAAAAATAAGTTGTCTTAAGCGCTTGTGGTTAGCTCAATACCTTAATTTTCTACAGTAGGTCTTTTCAAATAAACTTTTTCAATATAACTCTTAATTTTTCTAACAACTTTGATTTGATAAGACTATAAAGCTACCTTGTGTGCAAAGCACTAGCTTTTTCTTGAGAAAGATTCTGCCAGACTATATCCCTTCAATTTAACACTTCGAAGCTATCGTAGGAAGGCCTAAGGGCTATCGTAGGAAGGCCTAAGGGCTTTCCTTCAGGCCTTCTTACGATAGCTTCACCCAATAGATCTTTATCTTCCTTTGATCTGGATGATCTTAGCACTGGGGTTAAGTTAAATTCTATAGATTTCATAAACCTTTCCATTCTATATTGTTACTTCTGGCAGTACCGTTGGCTCGGTACATCTCTGACATTGTGAAGAGGCGACTTTACATGAATAAACGTACCAATCAAACTGTGCGATTAGCGTTGCTGCCATTCGCTAGCCGTCTGGATAAAGTCAGATATTTATTGAACCATTTGGACGCTTTATCAGGCAAAGAAGATGTCGTCCGGCTTTAGTTGGGTTTTATAAAACTCTTATTTAAAGAAAATGTAAATATATTATTTTAGACAGAAAACTTTAAAATCCGGATCCTGTAATGAGGAATGTCTTGAATTGTTAATATGATTATTTACACATTTAATGTTTTTGGCACACTCACTTCATATTATATAACATTTAAATCCAAAAAAATAAACATAAATTAAAGAGATGCGTAGTAATACGACTAGCAGTATATTAGTATTCCATATAAGAAGACATTTTTTAGGTGTCTCTATGGTTAATGCAATACTTAGAACATTGATGAAAGCATTTCATATCAAAACATATTTTATTAAAAATATATATGTTACAGTTAAAACCAGTTTTAAGATAGAACGCGTTTTCCCTATACACATTTTTTTTTATTACCTGCATTTAATTATTTAAGTTTAACTAAGCTAAAGTTCTATTGTGTAGTTTTTGCATTTTACAGACTTGCTAATAGATCTTGTTAATGCCTATAAAACTAATCTTATGTGCAAAAATTATGGACTGGAGTCTTATCACAAACGTTAGAATAACATTGTTTTAACTTAACTTAAAATATTAGAAAGTAGGTTTTTTGTCATTTTTAAAAAAAATGGATATTAATAATTCTGTAGCGAATAACAGTAAAAAACTTTTATTTTTTAATTTGAATTATGCCGCGGAATCATTTCTCTAGTAAATATGGCGTGTTTCCAGGCAGGTGACGTCACACAGCTTTCATTAAAACCTCAAACAGTACAAAGTAACGTCACTTCGCCAGGATGTTTACAGGCAGGTGACGTCATTTTGGCCTCCGCCAATCCTAGGCATTTTCATCAACGAAACAATATATCAAATAATACTTTTATATTTCATTATTTTTAGTAATATAATCACCTTATTTTTTTGTCAGAACAGTCAGACTAGGTAAAAAATAATGTTATTTTAAGCGCTTGTGGTTAGGTTAGGCTCAATACCTTCATTTTCTAAAAGGTCTTTTCGAATAAACTTCTCACAGAAACCTAAATAAAGAACTCGTAACAATATAACTCTTAATTATCGTAATAACTTTGATTTAATTAGACTATAAAGCTACCTTGTGAGCAGAGGACTTAAGTTAAATTTTATATATTTCATATACCTTTCCATTCTATATTGTTACTTCTGGCAGTACCGTTGCCTCGTTTGGTTTGGTATCCGTTTACTATGTCCAGTACCCTGTCCTGAGTGTCCTGTATGGCTCGGTACATCTCTGACGAGTAAGGATCGAAGTTTTTAATCTTTTTTTTGCGTCTGTATATCCCCTCTTTGTTTGATATCGCACAGTTCATCTCGGCCTGGAACAATAGTTTGCTTAGTTTTCATGGTAACATATAATTTGATTTAGATAATTTATTAGTCAGTTAAGGCTTATTTTCAATACAGATGCTACTGTTCTAATAGTAGTAAATGGGATGGCCTACTGTTTTGGCAGTAGGGTGGCATTTAGTGGATATAGCCAATTTTACGTATTAATTACACTAGGTACTTACTACCTTTACATAATTATTATGTATCTCACTAAACGATATTAAATACCCTAGATACACCAACACGAACAAAATCGTGCCAGAAACCTGTCCAAAAGGTACATTGAACGATCCACGGAGCTCTGTAAGATGATCGCGTAGTCAAAATCAATATAAGGCATTATTTAAATATTGAAAGTAACCTTTAATACATACTGTATAAGGTCTTACATAAAACGCATGCGTCAAGGACTTCTGACAGTTCGAAATGCAAGCTCGTAAAATTTTACGACTTATTGCTATATGCGGAAGAATTTAGTTCTTTGACTCTACGCGCAATTCTGAACACGCAACTCTGTGGCATCTTGACTTTGTAACGGTCCGCGCGTGATGTGAACCAAGAAGTGCTTGAGTAGAGTTCAAGCACTTCTTGATTGGGACACATTTTGAGCGCTCGTGGTGTATCTAGGGTATTTAATATCGTTGATCTCACTTCATTATTTCGTGAAATAGCAAAAGTATAAAGACTTGTATTGTGTAGTCAGAGTACTGTCAAATTGTGTGTTTATTGTGTGGTGAAAACAGAACTGTCAAGCGTGAACTAGTGTTAAAATTTCGAACCCTATCCCGACACGAAACACTATATTACCTCTGAGACGGTATGGTTGAGAAAATCCAGCACTCCCTGCAATGTATTCCTGGTGTCGCTGATCAGGGTCTCATAAAAGACCACGTGCACCGCGCCCGGGAACTTAGTCAACCACAACCGGTGCAAAGACTCCCACGCAGTCAACTGGTTCGCCACGTAGTACGACCAATCTGATACAATGACCATTAAAGATACTTTTAAGCTCTTTCTCTGTGTTACTTAGGAGACTGCGCTCGAAGAAGTGTTTAAAGAAAATTTTAATAAAAACACAATCTATTTAGTTCAGGTGTCAAGCTGGAATCTGGATTCGAACCAATGCCTTCCGCTACCAGAATTACACTGGCTATGAATAAACAGAAAGGAATGATGGCAGAGAATGGCCACTGGTTTTAGTAAACACTTTAAGCAGAGCATAATCTTTTTGTCAATTATTAATCACCTACTATTAATTAACTAATTATTAATATGAACGGATTCAATGAGGGCTATCGCGTATGAATCCGCCGCTAGAGGCGCTAGTGTAGCGTGAGGTCTCCGAAATGACAAATGTTATTGCTTGTTGGTTGACTACGCGGGTTTATTTCTAATTAAAATAATGTTGTGAATAATTGGTAACAATTCGGCTTAATTATGGCAAATATGAGTTATGTGGCAATGAATGTCAGTTATTAAAAATTTGAGCTTAGAAAAATGATTATGTTCCCATTTTTTCCGAATAAAACGGAACTGCGCGTCACTGTGGCATGGCCTATTATGTTTAGGATATGGTTCTTTTGTGTTAAAATACGATCTAAATGTAACCTTTGATTTCATGTGCGTATTAATAAACTTTAAAAGTTACAATTTAGGACCTCACTCAACAGTGGCGCCATCTGGTGAGGCAGAAAACGGTAGCCCTCATTGGCAGGCTTCAATGAGCACTTTCCATAACTATATAAGTTTTTATATAGGTTTTTCATAGCTATATTTTCATATTTAGCTGAAGTTTCACATAAAACAAACAAAGTCTGGACTAAATTTATCATCAGCATCTATTTCTTAGCCAAATAGACCTTGTGCCAACTCTTCTTTGATTTACCAGTTTTTGTGAGATACAATTTATACAATACAATATTAAGTACATATATTATGAAGTAAATATTGTAATTAAAAAATAAGTACCTGATTTATCACGATTATAGGATTTTCTCTGGAAGGCTGATTTTGGAGCGGTTCCTATGTGACCTTTGTGGACTCTGTTAAAGTCGGCCTGTTAAAATATCAAGTTAATGAACGACAAACAAGAGGCTAATTTTATAAAAAAAAATATTGTGTTGTTTGTAGTACTACATGAAAACTTATTGCTGGCACATCACTAGGCTATTCGTATTTGCTATTTGTAAGCTTGACAACATTTTGTCCTTATCATGCCTTTTAAAGATCAAGAAGGACAGACTGATGTCTAGTTTACAAATAGCCAAGTTAGGTGCAGGCATAAGAGAGCTAACAAATAATAACTGTTTGCACAAGAATGAAATATAATATAAATGTAAGCAAATAAAATTCCCTTCATTCATGATACTGATGATGTAGTAAATAATGTCCCCACACTGAGGCACAGGCCAAATCTTGCTATAAAATCTAACAATAAAAATGGTACTTTTTTCTTCAAACAAATAATAAATACTAGTTTATGTTGAGTATGATTGCTCAGGTTATGAATGTTAAAGAGCTACCATTCCAATCTACCGACACACACAGAGACCAAATGCCAATAATTTGTCAGATGGTAGCCTTCGTTCTGGGCTAAGGTTGAAAGAGAGACATATTATTAAGCAAAAGTAATGTGAAATAAAATAAAGGATAATTACCAAATAAAGTCATGAGCGTCTGGAAGAAACCAATAATTATTTAAACGAGTTGGCAGCTGTGCAGATAAGCTGAAACTACACATCCAAAATAAGCGCAAAAATGTTAAAACAAACGAAAAACAGTTATTTAACAGCATTAACAAGAACTATAAGACACACAACCAAACAAACTTTTAGTTAAAGTAAATAATTTTGATCAGGGCACAGAGTGCGAGTTTCCAAATAACTCAATTTGCATTAACATAAAATCATATGGCAGTTAACTCATCTACTGAATGAATGAATAACTTAAAAAATAGAATTTGCATGAACACATACTTGAGTTCAAAAACTCGCACAATAGACACACTGAATGTATTTTTCTTCTTTTGTATTTGAGTAGCAATGGGCTAATGCAATTTACAATGCAGACTTTATAGAGATTTGTTTTAAATAATTTTATATAAAATGATAATTCAAAAACCTCATACATACAGGAGTCATAACATGAATTGTTAATTCAATGCCAAGACAATAGTTACATAGAATATCATGACAAAGTCATGATATTTCCAATGGACATTAACAGTTATAATGGTTGGTTCAAATCATCAAGGGGAAAACAATATTTGGAATGACAATGTTGAACTCAAGATTTATTCTTATTATATACATGTATATTATATTATATACATTACAAAGGACATGGCTAAGAAACTGCCCTGTGTATAAATATTTCGCACTAGCCTGTAACTTTACAATATTTTTTTATTAATTATTACATGTTTATTATTCTCATAGAACTTTCGTGAAATAATCAATTATTTAAAAGTATAAAAATTTACTTCGTGTCTGTTTAAAAAGCGAAATGTTCCGTTTTACTAAATGAATGAACAATAAATGTACACAAAAAATTTTTTTGTAAGTATATGGAAATAAACAATACTATTTTTAAACTCTTTCAAACTATGACATATTTGGCCCTAATTTTAATTGTAATAAATCACTGACAGCCTAAAATAATAGATTTTATTATTCTGATAACAGGGACAAACTAACCAAAAAAAAAAAAACTTCAAAGATTTCCTGTCAAACTGACAATTATTTGTATTTATTTTTGCTTTAAAAAAAACTTTTTGTGAAGAGTTAATCAGAGTAATGGGAAGAAAGATTCTAAGAAAATACAAAATTGATGACTCTGTAAATAATTGGCAACATCTTTTAGCAACTATAGTAAGGTAATGACTATGTAGTTCTCATACATAGTAGTTCTCATAATTTTCAAGATTGTGACTATATTAAAAGTTCCAGAGTCCTTTTTCATAGAAATTATGAATATTCAGCCATTTACCATTAAATATTACTAAGTACAGTATTTATACATTGTCAGGGCAGTCGCCCATACAAAACTTTACCATGTCCTTTGTTTGCTGTTGTGGTTAACCTATTCTAATTGTTATTTAATAGCAGAGACAATGGTGTGGATTCTGGCATGATTCTCTAAACTTAAAACTAAATTTAACATCAGTCTGTCCTTTTCATTCTGTATAGGGAATGACAAGGATACACTGTGCTCAAGTTTAGGTTCAGAATGTCATCATGTCAGAATCGACACCCATAGTAATTTTCAGCAAATATCAAAATGTTTCGATGTGTAACGGGGATAGTATGTACAGTTTAATAAAAACAAATATTGACATTTCACTTCTATAAATAAATAAATAAGCAGTGCTTTAATTTTCACAAAGGCAATCTATGTCTTTTTAATGAATAATTATTGTAAGATTCTAATTTTATAATTTAGGGGAACTTCCCAATCAGTATTATGGACAAAATCTTACCAGTATTGCATTTCTGGGGTTTCTTATTAACAGTAACGCTGATTTAAACTTGTTTGGATCCAATGGTGGCGCCTCATGTGTTTTAACTACCAGTACCGAACCATCTGTAACATTCTCAGCTGGAAAGCCGTGTACTCTCAACCCATAGTCCATGTATACAGACCCTGTGACTATACCTGAAATAACGTAAATTATTTGTTCATATAATATTGAATTATGTGTCCATGTTAATATAGTGTATTTCTTAGATCATAGCACCAGTACTGGTGGTTATTTCACAAAATTTATTCCATGCAAGTGCCAGGTTTTTAATTTTCCAGTTGCCTATGATTTAACTTATGTACTACGAAGAGAGCTGGTATTCATTCTATTATATTATTAAAATATAGTATTTCTATGATGCCTTTAATGTACTGTAGAAAAATAAAATTTATTGTGTTGTTCTCTCTGCCTGTCCTACCAGTGATATAGCAATAAGATAGATTATCTGCAATTCAACAGAAATACTTGTAACCCATGGAATTGTAGCTATTTTCTAAACTAACAGGCAAAACAATAATCTTAAAGTCAATTTAGGAATAATATAGCTCTAATGACTCAACCATGTGGTAACTAACCTACTAATGATTAATTTCAATACTGTTTTGAAGCTGCTATTTTATTTAGATCGAACTCAAATAAATAAATTAATAAAAACGATACCTGTGGCTTGCTGTAGCAAATATCTCAACCATGTATTCCCACTCCCAGGAAATGAGACTAATGCCACAACATGAGGTGAAGGTGGCGATTTCCACTGCAGTCCCTGGCACCAATGTAATACAGGTAGCTGCCGAAACGCGAAACTATTCAAGGAACCATGCTCGTACAACGAATCTCTCGCGCCGTGTAAAGGGCTCAACATAAATATGATTATTGAGAAATACAGCATGACGACAGCCGCCGCCAGCAGAAAGAGGTATCTGCGAGACATGCCGACTGTGTATTGTTTACTCTCGGATCACATAAACAAATATTTTATTCATCGTTTAGCTATTTTGATGTCACATCAGTTCATCGGACTTGAACTTTAGTGTCGTATTGTGCGTGAGATCTGTTGTTACTAGGTATGTTCGTTATTTTTCATTGTAGAGTTTTTGGTTTGCAGTATTGTTGTTAGTTTATTTGCTTTCCGATCCACTATATTTGATCTTAAATAATCACAACAAATCAAACAGGCTTTCACAGCAGACTAGCGACATAGCACAGACTAGCGACATAGCGACTTTGCTTTTTTTCTTAATTTATTCTGGCTTTTGATACTCAGTCCTTTAGTCGAAATCATATAAACAAATATTACAAAATAAAAAAAGTAGTAAGTGTAATAGATTAATATTTAGGTACAAATTATTTAGAATAACTAATACATAATAGGTCCCGGAGACGATCAATTCGACGGTTTCACGTGATGAACGACTTGACGCCCATTGACGGTGCCATCAATCTGATTTGAATTGATGCATTGTTTAGTTGGTTAGGTAGTTGAGGTTATAAAATGCACTAACAACTCGTACTACGCTCTACAGATTTGATACTTTTGTAATATTATTTAAATGTGAACATGGTTTTTAACATCTAACGTAACGAGTATTTACTTCAGATGGTTCCGAAAGTACAATTCAACGCATAGCGGATTAAAAATTTGCACAGTGACATTCAACAAACTATGCTGGAAACTAAAGAAATACCTAACAACTATTGTAACCTTATTTTGGCAAATATATGATTATTACTATTTATTACTAATGGAGATAGAAAACACAGATGTCGGTATATTTAATGCGATTCAAATAAGAATAGGAAAGCCAATGACCTCTCTCTGTCAAATGTCGCTTGAAAAGTACGGTTTGAAAAAAAATCTTGGAACCCTTTTTTAACACTCCGCTGATTCAAGAATATATATATAAAACCAAACATTTGTGAACAAACAATAACAAATGTTGATAATTAATATCGGTTAATATTTTTTTTTCACTTATTAAGCTTTGGCCATGAATGGTTGATAACCTATATCGTCAACCAAATGTCACCTTAAGTTGCGTTCGATTTCAAACTTTCGTTTACTTAAAGGCTGCATTTACGTATGTGACCTAGTAATAGTGCATGATTACTCATAACTACTTTGGCGGTAATGCACAGATGAGCGGAATAGAAGAGCTAGATTCTGATTAATGTTTTTTCTCACAGTCTTAATAAATAAATATTATTTAAAATTGGTGGTTATTTTCCTCAATCTTTGTAAATTAATGTCATTAAAAAAATCTGATGCTTTTTCTCACTTAATCTTAGTAAATAAATTTTATTAAATAAAAACTTTTTTTTGCTCACTCTACCTATTTGGTTTGAATTGACAGCTATGACATCACAATATGGCGCCCAGTCGGTCCTATTCTTAGTTGAATCACATTATATTATGATTGGTTCGTCAAAAAGTTAATTTTTATACGAGATAACTAAGAAATCTATTATTAGCCATGGACGGCAGATTTTCAAATGATGCTGCAAAACGCGAGTATTGTCTGAAGAAGCATTTTAGGCAATAAATCCACGAGAATGGAAAAAAGATTATTTTGCCTGTGGTGGAACTATGCAGATGACGATGATTCCAGTTTCAGTAAATCCCATGAAACAGGCAGCAACCAGCAACTTGATGATGACGCAAGAATAGTCATTTTGATCAGATAATTTGGGTTCCGAATAATAATATTAATATATTTACTATAATAACTATATTTCTTTTTATTTCCCACCTTTAATAAGTGTCCGAAAAAAAGGCCGGTGATAAGCGGCTTGAGTGTCTACTAGCCCTCGAAAGTCGAGCATGACAAATATTGGTTATTTTATTATAGTTTTACTTTTGAGCATTAATCTGCTCGGTTTTAAAACTAAAGAAATTCTTAACTAGAAAAAATTGAGTAGATTTTTTTTTATCTAGCAAAATATGAGGCAGGTTCAGAAAAAAATCTAAGATGATGATAAAATTATACAATAGTACTTTTCAGCAAATATCAAAGCGTTTCGATGTGTAACGTGGATAGCATGTAACGGAAGCGAGCTCCTTTTTTTCATGACTTTATTGACAGACTTATAACTTCGGTCTTACAAGATGAATACTAATGATCTATAGGCTGTATGGATTTAACCAAAGTCGTTAAACGTTTAAATAAATAAATAAAAAAAACGTTTTTGGCGGGATTTTATCGAGTATGGTTGGTATCTTATTTTAATTTATCTTAAATTCATTCTTAGTGGATATTGTGAAATAAAATTGGTGTGATTTTGTGTTATAACCGTGTCTGCACAACTGAAAAATTAGTTGAATCTTTAAAAGGAACGCTATTCCGGTCAACTGCACGTGTGGAATATATTGTAGTGTTGACTACCTCACAGAAGCTTATGGAAAAAGCCAACTCGATACATTTCGTGCCAAACACTCCAAGAAACAATAGAATGCGGCACACTGACAAAAATAAGAAGATTAATAATTAAAAAGTTAAGATAAGCTGTATGGGCATTATTCCCTTTGCTTTCCCTGAAAAAGAAGAATCTTAAAAAAAAGAAAAACTTCAGTCTTGTTTAGTTTGGTTGGCTTCGTTAATTATTTTTTTTACGGTTTTAGTAACAAAGCATAGATCGGAATATCGGATTACATAAATTAAAATAGCAGTTATGGCTAGCTCGAAAGATCGTGATGAACATGTGGTGTTAGCACATCAGTGTTACCTAAAGAAAGATTATACTTCAACTCTTCAACATTTGAATGAATTGGAAAGTGTTGTTGGTACGAGTAATAAACGTATACAACATAATAAAGCTGTTGTTGAGTTCATGGCGAGTGATATGAAAAATTTGGACAAGTATAAAAAGTCCATTAGTCAAATGACTGGACTAACACTACCAGACATGGAGGTGAAGGACTTATCTTCGCCATACTTATTATACAATTACGCTGTCCTGCTGTACCATTCTCGTTATTATTACCAATGCACTGTGATATTAGATAAACTTCTGTCATCTAAAACAATCAAAGATGCTAAACTTTTACAACAAGTGGTACTGCTCATGTTGGAAGCTACATTGTGCAGGAGAACATATGATAAAACACTTGAGATATCCAAAAGCCACGGAGAGCCATTGAAAAGTAATAATGAAGTAAGTGAACTGTTTGAGAGGTTGGTCAGCAGAGCACAAATTCTATTAGGACAGAAAGTAAAGCTAAATCTCAAGCCAGATTCTATTGAAAATATTTTTATAATAGCACAACAGCAATACATAAACGGGGATGTAAAAGAAGCTGCTAACACTTTAGGACAGTACAAGTCTTTGAAATATAACTATGATCTGAAATCTCAGGGTGAAGATATTTGGGCTGCAATCAACAATAACCTTGGTGTACTATATTTATCAATCAAAAAGCCTTTTTTAGCAGCAAAGTATTTTCAACATGCTGTTAAGGAGCATTTCAAGGCTATGGATAGTGAGGACAGTGAAAGATTAATTACTTGTAAAGATAGACCACTCTATGTGTACAATTTAGGGCTTGCTTTGTTAGCAGCCAACAATGCAGAAGGTGCTTTCGAATGCCTTGTTGAGGCTGCTCGTCACTATCCTAATAATCCACGGATTTGGTTACATTTAGCGGAATGTTGTGTGAAAAAATGTTGCAACGAAGAAGCCCTACAATATACAGTAAAAAAGTTAGGCAGCGGTCCGCACACTAGGATATTACTATCGAAGGAAAATAAAGAGAAATATTCCACATCCGGTGAATCATTTGCTATACCATCTCTCTCATTAGAATTTGCAGCTCTTTGCCTAAGAAATGCAGTGACACTGCTTCCTAGTCAAGAGCCTCCATCAGATGTGACAGGACCACTTATCCAAGCACCACCTGGGCCTCCTATTAACTGGAAGCAGAGATGTGAATTGAAAAACTCAACATTAGTGTTGCAAAGTTATGTATTACTTCATTTACAAGATCCACTATCAGCTCTTGTGAGTGCAAATGAACTATTAAGTCAAGTAGATGTGTCAAGTAGTCACAAAGCATGGGCACACATATATGCAGCAGAAGCATTAATAAATTTAGATAGAATAACAGATGCTGTGGAACATTTGAATCCACCAATGATTCATGACCTTGTATCAGTGCTGCCATATCAAATGAGAGATATGATTGCTGTGTCCGTTTGGGCCAAAGCTGCAGTTTGCCACATTTTAAGAAGAGATCTTGTCACAGCCAGGAAAATTTTGATGCAAATAACTTCTCCCCGTGTTTTACCTTTGCAAATGTATCTGGAAATTTGTACTGGGAATATAGAAAACTGCCATACGATATTGCGAAAATTGCGCCTTTCGAACTTACCCTAATATTGTTTAAAAAATAAAAAAAATAGAATTAATTGTATATATATTAAATTTACCTTAAATGTTAATATAATCTACAGTAATCCAAAAATAAATTGTTTTACTTTTTTGTAGCATGAGTTACAATTGGACGTAGCTAAGGAGGGGGGAAGCCTCTACCTTCTCTTCTTCATTAATGAATACTTGACCAAATCTCCTATGATGTTATATTTTTTCTTTTAACACTCAAAATATAGGTGTAGAGTTGCGGAAACAGCCAGCTGTACTACTAAGACTAACACTCCAAATATTTGCTTCTTAGGTTTTCACTCCCATTATAATTTTTTTAATTTTATCTATTTGTACATGTTTATAAGAGTGAGTGTGATTAAATAAATCAAAGAGCTCATCTTATATTATAAGGCTTTATTAAGGTCAGGATGTATGTAACTTTTAATTTTCTTTGTAGATCTTTCAGCAGGTCGTACAGATAGAAGTTTACCAAAAAAGGTCACCTTATAATTTTTAAGGTACATATCAAAGACACTACTTTGCTTTGGGATAGTTGTTATTATATTATCTATTGACAATATTTTAAAAGTATACCGGGTATCCATTATGCAAATCCCTTTCTTGCCAACATAACTGGGGCATATTGAACGTACAACTTCTAACATGCTGCCATGGAAATCTGCCTTGTACAATGTTTGAGTAAAGATTTCCCACCCCTTAGAATAACGATCTGGTATACCAGACTGTTTTTCGGTTTCTAAAATGGTACTTATGTAATCTAGCCACATATTATGCATCGGCAGAGCATCTTCATATCTCATACTTTTTCTAGGAATGCGATAAAAACCCAAGGCTTTCTTTTCCTGCCGGGTCAAATTTTTGCTTTTCTTCTTTTTAGCTTTTTGCTTGAGGTTCTTGCTTCTGCGATTAGCTAGAATGAAGTCCTTCTTGAGCTCTGATTCTACATTAAGAATATCAGATCTTCGGACTTGTGATTTCAAAAAATCTATAATAGCTTGGGAAGATTTCCTGTCTACTTTTTCTTCTATAGTTGAAGACATACTTGCGTTGTTACCTAATTTTATATGATTCCTGCTAATGTAGGTTAGGTTAAAACTTAGTTACGGTTGATTTAAATAAACAATACGATTGACGACTTGGTAGGTAGTTTAATACAAGTTCTATTAAAAAAGTAGAACAAAACAATAAGATTAATCACAACACAATGAACTGGTACCATATGATTAAGATTGCTTGTATGTATGAAAATCACAGATGTAATGCAATGCGCTAGCATCTAAAGTTTGTGGTAGTAGTAGTAATTCGCTTTCGCGCAGATTGATTGATTCCATGTATTTTTTTTGTTAAGTTCTCTCTTTTCAGGGAAGGCAAGGGGAACAGTGCCCATAGAGCCTAGTCTTAAGTTAAATTATTCTGTTTTTCTTTTTACATTAGAATGTCGGTGTGACGCATTCTAATGTTTCTTGAAGTGTTTGGCACGAAATGTATCGATCTGGCTTTTTCGATAAGCTTCTGTGAGGTAGTCAATACTACAACAAAATTCTCACGTCCTCTTGACCGGAATAGCGTATATTTTGACGATTCTACTGATTCTTCAGTTACGCAGACAGTTGTAACACAAAATCACACCAATTTTATTTCACAATATCCACTATGAACGAATTTAAGAATAATTAAAATAAGACGCCAACCACACTCGATGAAATCCCGCCAAAAACTCATTGATTCCATGAATTGTTCAGTGCTGCCAGCATAAAAATTAAACAAACAGATTGGTCAATAAATTAGTCTTGCTTGGACTGTGATATCATGACATCACAGACTACCTACAGGTTGTCTATAAAGTCGTGACATGAATGTTTGAGGAACTAACATTATTCATGTGTCTGGCAACACCAAACTTATGTACATCAGCTGTCATCGAGTTTCAATATCAAATATCAGTTTTCCTTTTTTTTTTGTATTGTTTGGATTAAACTGTAATAAATTAAGACGAAACTACGCAGAAAGGTATAAAAATGAGTAAAGTAAATCGGAGTGGCACGCGGAAAGTGATTTTTAAAGTTTTCCAGCGATGTTTCGAAGACTACCAAGCTGGACGAATTTTGTGGGATTTGGACGATGTTTATGGGCGAACAGCATCTATGACGGGTATGTAATCGTGTAACTATTTGTTTGTAATCTGCCTGAAGTTACAAATTTACTCAATTAACGATTTTGAGACCAAAAAAAGGCATTGTTTACATTACACCTTTTTAGGTTAGATTGACATTGGTGTCGATTCTAGCGTGATTCTCTAAACTTAAAACTAAATTTAACATCAGTCTCTCCTTATCATTCTGTATAGATAATGACAGGGATGCACTGTTGTCAAATTTAAGTTTAGCTTTAGAGAATCATGCCAGAATCGATATCATTGTAAATAGGTAATATTGTAGTACGACCATTTCTTTTGATACGTTATTATGATTGAACTCGGTCAGGTTTTCTACCAATTTTGAATTAATTGCTTCATGTCAATAAGTTATTGTTTCTATTCCGTTACATATTTTTTACTTTTTTTCAGGAAAATCAGAGAGTCGGATAGTCAACGAAGGTTTTAAGAATGATGGAAAGTTTGAAACTCCTGGGAAAACAGGCAAGGCCGACCAAAGAAAGAAATGGTCACATAAAGAACCATGGCCAGATGCTTTTAGTGAAGATACCTATCACTAATTTTACTAACAGCACATTCAAATTGTTTCTCTAAATAAACTTTTTATATACTATAAAATAATTTTTAGTATTATTTTCTTAACAAGTGTGTTAAAAAACGTCGTATGATGATACTTGTGTGTATTGATGATTACCTAACGGCTCCGGTCTCAATGGCACCTCAGCGGTAATCGCCAACATTACACACTTTTACAATATAAAGTACTATTTTATCTATAATAATTTTATTCTGATTCAATTAAATATGCTTAACTAAACTTTTTATAAGCATAGGTACCTACTATATATAAAACAGAAACAAAATACGACTGTATAGTGTGTCTTATTAAGTGGCGATATCATTTAAAAATCACGACTTTATAGACAAACTGTACAAGTCCCCGGCACGTAACTTGGCAAGGTTTTGGCGTAGTGAAGGTAAGTTCGCGCATCGTGTACTTAGTGGAACAAAAATGTGGTCACTTTTATTCCTTGTCATTATATTCTATCGTTATTGCCATCATTTATTATTAATCATGTCTGTTTAGAAGAAAGATAAAGAAAGGAGAGAAATTCTTGAAGTTTATTAGCATGCATGATTCTCTAACCCTAAACTTAAATTTGACAACAGTATATCTTTCTCATTTTTTATAAAGAATGAAAAGGAGAGACTGATATTAAATTTAGTTTTAAGTTTAGAGAATATATGCATTTAAAATTAAAAAAAAAGGGTTTAAAATAAAAACGTGTTCTCGTCGTCACAATAAGTTGATAAAATTGCTACCCCTGGTATCAAATAAAAAGTATCACCAGAGCTGGTGGAAGAAGACGGCTTCTCATCCTCGGCAAAACTATCATTACCCTTGTTGCAAGAGGAGTTGCTGTCGTCACCGGTGGAAATGATAAAACGTTAAGTGACTGTGTCGGCCGGAATGGCCACATATCCCGACTACCACCAAAGAGACCATAAAATCAACTTATGGGATCTAAACACTCTTGCCAAGTTACGTGTCGGGGACTGTACTAAGGAGATACTACGCATCATGACATGATATCGCTCGCTAACCTAAAAAAGAAGACCTCCGTGGCTATGTGGTAAAGTGGTGGTCACATAACTTACTTAAGGTACTAACATTAGTATTTAATCTAGTGTAATTGTTATTAAACTATACACGACGTTGTATTCTTTCAATGTGGGACGAAAAATAGGTGCGTTCGTTAGTAGTTTAGACACTGCTCACTATGGCAACATAACACAAACTTTTTAACGGACTTGGAGCTGGCCAGCTAATTAAAGATAGTAAAAGCTGTGCTCTAGTTTAAAAAATAAAGAAAAAACTGCATTCTACTTTTCTTTCTTTTGCCGCGTATTTTCATGAAACGTCGATATTACATATAAAATCAATTAAAATTGATACGTTTTAAACCCAGCAATAATATGGGAAAAAACAAGAGTTGCGATTCGTCCACTAGGAAGATTATTTTCAACTTTCATAATAGAGATTGGTCATACTGAATAAGGCATTCTGGAAAGCATAACCTATTAATTAGTGTAATGCAAAATTGTTGGGAATACAATTACTACTACAAATTAGTATGCTTTATAAACTTATTTTTTTTAAATAAATGCTACGAAACTAATGTTCTTCCACAAATAAAACAATAGTTTATTTTCTAACTATAAATGAAAACTAAATTTTAGAAATATATGTATATATAGAATGTAACTGTTGAATTGTATATAAAAATAATAATATAAAAATAAACTAGTATCAAGAAATTAATTGTAACTCACTCGTTGAGGTTAGGTATCTTCATAAAAAAATCGTTCTTTAATAATCATTTGTTCTTTTTCAGATTTAGTATGACACACTTTTTAATAAATAACTTCTCCAAGTCCAATTTTCTCTCTTTTATTCACTCCACAAAGAAAAAATATCAAAAAACATTTTGCTACCGCGGCCCTGACAGTCGTGTCGAATTTTTCTCTAGCCTTAGGCTGCAAGGCAGCGCCATCTCTTAGCACATTGGTCAGTGCATTCGTCCGGATAGCGAAGGATGCTACTCCGAGTCCCGTGTGCTGCCTGGTCCGCGTGGATTTTCTTTCTAGTAAACTTTTCTTTAAATTTAAACATTTAGCAGCATTTAACTGCTGGACGCAGTTAAATGCTTCAAAAATAAAAATTAATCAAAAATCATTGTTTTAACGAGAGATTCTTGCATGACATGATATTTTTGAATGACGTCTGAGTAATAGCAAAGCAAGAAAACTTTCGGGAGAAATTGAGAAAAAATCGAGAGTCGTAATCTGTCAACACTGAGAATTTGACAGAAGAACTTGTATCCATGGTCATGAATAAAAAAAAAATGGATGCGTGTAACATAAGTACGCGCGTGAGAAGTTACACTTCTTTAGCATCATTAAAAATATATTTAAATCGCATGCAAATAATTAATAATTACAATAAAATAATAAAAGGACTGGAAAAGGATAGTTAACACAGTCAATTAAGTTCAGTTTTAATTGGAAAAATTAAATAAATATTCAAAATATTCAATTAAAATCACTACTGAATTTAAGTTATGAGTCCATATGTAATTAGCACTTGTAAGTAACTAAAACACGTTGTGTCTATATAGAAACTAGAAACATGTGGATAAATATTATAAATATGAAAACAGTGATCAGAGGCGACGAGCGTGCCAACATTGTTTTTGACAACGCGATCATCTTATGGAGCTCCGTGGATCGTTCAAAGTACCTTTCGAACAGATGTCTAATAATGGTGGATTATTAACCACTTAGCGGTTAATAATCCACCATTATTAGACACTAACGTATTATATTCATAATGCTCCTGCGGCCAACTTCATGGTGTTACTATTGTGTTACAGTGATGCGCGCGCATCTCGAAATTTCATTCACATGATTTTGTCATAACGCGCCCGCGGCTAACTTCATTATGTTACTTTTGTGTTACAGTGATGCGCGCGCATCTTAAAATTTCACTCTCATATTTTTTTCATAACGCGGCTAAAGAAGTATAACTTCAAAAAAAACAATGTCGAATTGTTTTTTTAAATTATGAAATTTGGGACAGCCAAGAGATTTTTGCCTATCCAGCCAAGATCTAAGTATTTAGATTAATGATACTGGGAACCTCCCTCAAATTTTAATGTAATTATTTATTTTTAAAGTGAATATAGAACTAATTATTCTGTGAATATTTCAAGCGTCTACCGTTATTAATATAAAAACAAAAAACGGCAACAAATCACGTTTGTTGTATAGGAGCCCCTTAAATTAGTTATTTTATTATTATATATATATATATAGAGTTTATTGTATAGCGGCAACAGAAATACATCATCAGTGAATTTTTTTACTGACTAGCTATAACGATCATGAGATACAGCCTGATGACAGACAGACGGACATCAGTGGAGTAATAGGTTGCCGTTTTTACCCTTTGGGGTACGGAAATCTAAAGAGAAAGAGAAATCGCTAAAGTCGTTTTCACGTTAATAGCGTGACGAAGCGAAATAGAAATTCATTATAAAAAATGGGTGCGTGTATTTATGTAGGCGCGTGAGAAGTTATCCTTCTTTGGCATCTTTTAAAATTAGTTTTTAATTGCATGCAAATAATTAATTACAATAAATAATTAAAAAGTCTGGAAAAGGACACAGTCAATAAAGTTCAGTTTTAATTTGAAAAAATAAATAAATAATCAAAATATTCAATTAAAATCGCTACTGAATATAATTTATTAGAACATATGTGATTTGCACTTGTATGAAACTCAAACACGTATTCCGAATATACAAACTAGAAACATGTGGATAAATATTATAAATATGAACTGTTACTTTATTACAAAAAACAAAGATGGGGTTTTTGGTTCTACTACACCAATGGTCAAGAGATGGCGCTGTAGTCTCCTGAATCGCGCTTTGGTTCCGTTGTTCCAGATTAATAAATACTTTTGATATTATAAATATGAATACCTATAACTGTTACTTTATT